TGGGAACAAAGGGAACAATCTATTTTCCTGATAGAAGCCAGCAGTTGGTAAGAGGTTTGAGATGAGTGCGAGGATACAATTTGCCTAGAGAGTGCCCGAGGATCAAGCCAGCCCTGACTCACTCTGGAATGAGCCTGTCAGCTGGCAACCAGCAGTAATTGCTTCCCATGGCAGGACCCCACCAGCCAGAGAAGAATGTGTGTGAGGAGCTCGTCAACCCGTGGATCAATTTTCACAACAGCCCAATCATAATTGTTTTCTAAGGATATGGAACTTGTTGCGAATGCGAGCGGAGGGCGAGGCCTGATTGACACTCATTGACCGGCGTGAGCAGGTTATAGGGCTGATTGATCTCGAAGCTTGGAGGCACGGCACACTGTTTGTCACTCAGGTTGAGGGGAGAAGAATAAGAAACTCCCGACCCTGGAGAAGCCTTAGCCTGTCAGTCCACACAAAGCTGTTAGCACGCAGTCAAGTGCACAGTTTCTCAATGGTGCAATTACAAAAATTTACCGTTATTTAAAGAGGTGCCTTGATTCTGTGTGATCTAGAAATCCTTGAATGTCCTGCATAGGAAATGTTCAGTCCACTAACGATCTATCATCTGTCTACAGATATTTTCGTACGCTGTCAAGCACCGAATTGAATTGTAGGACACTTGGATGGCTGATGCCACTGCCAGCGGGTCCCAAGACCATCTCAAATGTCACTTCAGCCGACTGCTAACATGTGGCCCTTTGGCCAGTGTCTCTGACATGCTATTATCTGTCTTTAGAAGAGACGGCGCGGTGTTGTCAGAAACCCGTGTCTCTACACATGTATCCATCACAGAGTGGCAGATGGCTTGGATCAAATTATTTTTTGTGTAAAAGGCCGTGTGAAGTTTCAAAACGTGACTGCCGCAGATGCCTCTCACAGGAGGCATAATAGAGCATCTTGTTTGGCGGCTGCAGATGTTTCTTGCAAAAGGCATAATAGAGGAGCACCTTGGGAGAACCCAGCAGCCATACGGATGAGGCTGCGGTTTTCTTCTGGCTCAACCCAACAAATTTACAAAAGAATGCATTAAGGTACCATGAGGCCCCTAACCGATGTGGGCTTGAACGTCAGCGAATCTATTGTATTTGTTCTAAACGTCAACACTAATGCACAAGGACAGACTCTAAAACTAATTCAACCTTCACTGGCTCTAAATATATGACACAATCTAGTGCTTATATACTGTATGTATCTATTTCTGACATAAATATGTCAATGAGTATGCATCATTACAGACTAACAAGTAAGTCTCACTGGGATGCTCCTTCCGCTCCTCTGTCGCTGACTTCATTAGCATTATTGTAAGGGGAAAATGACTGGCATAGCATTTTTTAGTAGCATGTGCTTCATGCACCCCGTTCACTAAGGCCCTGTTTACACCTGGTATTGAAATCTCTTTGTTGATCAGATCAAAAGGGAAGGGGCACCTCAAAAGCATCTCCTTTGACCACTTGTGCTTGGATTTCATGGATAAGTGGCTTGCAAAATACTCATTATGTCAGTTTATGTTATTATGCTATGTTCATTCAGGATGCAAGATTCAATCGTTTCAGCTCGTGTAGTGTGTCATAGTGGACGACAACCGATTCCGCGTCTGCGATGCTTCACGACATCACGACAGAAAGACTAGCATGTTTAATTTTTTTCCGTCGTCCACGACGAGTTCTGTCACACTGGTGACGTTGACCAATAGCAGCACAGAAGCTCTTTCAGACACAGGTTTCAAACATGGCGAAACGAAGGAGAGATGATGGTGCTGCTAGGTGGAGTTATGAGATGGAGGAAAGGTTCGTGGAGCTGTGGCAACAGTACTCCTGCCTGTATGATGTGTCATCGAGGGACTACCACGACAGAACAAAGAAAGAAAAATGCTGGCGAACGATAGCGGAAGCGCTTCAGCAATGTTTACACTCTTGTTTTCGGAAGTCAGTTGCTAGTTCCGCCTTCTCGATGACATCACGTGAGTCGTTAAAGACGGCACACGATGAATGGTCGGGAAGCAACGTGTAGTCTGACATGTCTCTTGTCCACGACACAACGAGATTTTAGGAGTCAAAATCGTGTAATCTGACACAGTGACTATCGTGACTGACAAAAATATTGTGTAGTCTGAACCCGCCATTACATGAATTTCACGGGGATGCAGACAGAAACGTGAATAACAGCATGCGCGCTCACGCCACGTTGCTTTGCGCATGGTCACGAAAACTTAATGTTTGCACGCATTTTTAAGCACTGCAGTTTAAAACAACTGATTTTAGGCCGTTGAAACACAAACAACAGAGCTATACGCGCACACTGTCTCTGTGAGAGGAGCCTGTAAGCCGAGCATCAGCTGCTAATAGAGCTCGTGAGCATTTTTGCCACTTTACTGGATTTGAACAAGTGCGTAAACGCTTATATGCGTCCAAATGCCCGGCTTTGCAAGTATCCTCATAATCACAGTCATGTAGGTCTTAAGGGAACGTAAACAGTTGCAAGAGAAAACGCATGTGTAACAGTATATTGGTTTCTGTCTTAAAGGGGAAGCTGTCCAACATTCGTCCTGTCTGCCATTCATATTAATCAAACAACAGTGAGAGAAAATATCTCACTGCTCTTGACTAAATCACTTTTGTAACTAGTAAGAAGAAAATAAATAAATAATGCTAATGCTAATAATTATGCCTAGATAGATAGATAGATAGATAGATAGATAGATAGACAGAAACTTACACAGTGAAGACTAATTCCTTTACACAATGTATTTCTTATTTATTGTAGTTTTTTTGTCCTATTGCTTGAAATTTGTTTCTTGTTCTTATTTCATCACTGACTGTTTATTTATCTCCAGTGAGCTTGTTTTTTTTTATTATTATTATTGTCTTGTATTAGTTTGATATCGACATTGGTGACAAGGATTATACAAATTATATGGTATCAAAGATTTTAATATCATAAAAACCTTTTTAAAAGAAAAAAATAACTATATCGTGATGTATATCGTTATCATGATATAAAATTACTCATACCGTGATACAAGATTTTGGTCATATCGCCCACCCCTACTAGTGTTCATAATTAGGTTTAGAGCTCTGAAGAAACACTAGAAAGCTTCAGAAACAAATTACTTTTTTTGTTAATAATGGTTCGCATCCAAAACGATAATGTACATGCAGAAAAAAAACATTTATTTTCTTTGAGTTTCCAACAAAAATAATTATATTATATTATATTATATTATAATATATAATAATTTTTATATAATAATATATATTCAAATGGAAAACAGTTATTTTAAATCGCAATATATTATATTATATATCAATTGTAATAGCATTGTCATAATATTTCACAGGATTAGTGTTTTTACTTTTAAATACATGCAGCCTGGGTGAGCATAAAAACAATCTTACTGACTTTGAAGGGTAGTGTATGCATTATAATTACATATTATATCTAATTATGGTGATAAAATGGCAATTAAACATCTGTGGGTGTAAAATTACATCTATAATGTGGCTGCCTGATTCATAGAGAGTCATCAAAAGAAAGCACTCATTCGTTAATTAAAGCCATTAAGACACAGGAGAAAAAGGCGCCAAACCGCCGCCCTCGCGTTGAGAGAACCAATCACACGACGACGCCCATCCTACAGTATTACTGTAAAAATAAAAGCTGGAGCAGATGAGAACCCCACTGGAGATGTTGATCACGAGCTGTCGTGTGTCTTTGCTCTCGTGTGAGTGTGTGAACCACTCTAATGCTATGCTTCTGGAAGTCTCGGACCACATGTGGTTTCGTTCTGGTCTGTTTGTGGCAGCTACACAAACCCCGGCGGTTCAGTTTCAGTTGTTAACTATACGCTGAGAGCGAGGCTTCAGTTCTGAACACCGCTGCGACTCTGAACCGAATGAAACGAGGATGATACAATGTCAGAAATGTTTTACATTACATTGGCTACACGCCAATCAGATGCTACTTTAAACTCACCCAACAATTAAACATTCACATTAAAGGAAGAGTTCACACACAATTGCATTCATTTCTTGTCATGCACTCATTTAATGCTTGTTCACACCAAGAACAATAACTGCATTAGCATCCAGCTCGGACATTAGCATTTAAATGTTCCAGCTCTTCTTCTGTCTGGTGGATTCTGATTGGCTGTTGGTGTTTTTTAATTTTTCATCAGAACCAAGTTTCTTTATTGGATTATGAAAATAGTTTTATATAATCCACTGGAAGAGAACCTGGCTCCGAACTGATAAACAAAAAGCATCATGAAAATGGACCACACTATTTTTTGGGAAAGTAATTAAAGCAATGCATTATCCCAAACACTGAATGGGACAATGCTCTTAAATAAGCAGATGGTGAGACTTTGGGTGAAATGTTGCTTTATCATGCAAAACATTTTTTTTTACTTTTTGTATCTTTCACTTGGTCTGATATTTTGTAATCAAATACATTTTTCATGTTTTTTTTTTTAAGTGTCAGAATAGTTTTAGGGGTCAACTTTCAGTTTCTTAAGTATTTGCTGAAGGGATGTTGACCGTGAATGCTAAATATTAAAGTATTTGATGACTATAAAATAGAAAAAGAAAATAGATAGAAATCAATAAGTAGCCTTAAGTTCACTACACAATTCGATTATTAAAGATGTCTTCCTTAGTTTTCTGACATGCATGTTTTCTGAGGTCATAAAGTCTCTCAGAAGGTGTTTCATACATTTCATCTGGCTGTCGCCGCAGGGGAAGTTTTCAGCTCACTGACTCTCATTCATGCAGGAAACTCATTCATGTGTTGTTCTGTTTTCTCACAAATTCCATCACCGCGCGCAACGCACATTCATGGACACGTCGGCTGATCAGATCGGCATGAGTCGGGGGGCAGGGGGAGGAGGGGGGGGCAGAGCTGATCGAGGGGCATGAAGGGGGTGTCTGTCTGCCCTGGACACGTCTAAACTCGCTCATTTCCCCTCCACGCACACAGGCCACAGCAGGAACCGAGTCAAATCTATCCTGCTCTCATTTCCAAGCAGAGATAGATCACAAATCACATCTCTAAAGACTCACGTGAGCACAGCTGGTGTTAGTTTAGTTCAGTCAACACGCACATAATACGCCTCTCTGTTGTTTACTTGCTTTCACGCACTTACAGAAAGTCTGCAGTCACTTACAGTTAACACACAACGCATCAGTCCAGCGCAGGACGCGCAGCTGTCAGACGCGTAATTGCGCGGAACATCAGTTCCGATAAATCACGCCAAACAGTCCAATCCGCCGGAACTCACCATACAGCCAGGCGGTCTTTGGGGTAGTTGAGGCGGTCGATGGCTCCGAGGACGTGCGGCAGAGAGTGCGCCGAGTTGCGGCAGACCAGCGCGAGCAGCACCCGCGGCGCGAGCAACGCGGACTCCGGGCTCCAGCGCTCCTCCGGGAAATAACCGCGCGCCGGACCGATCCAGAGCAGCAGGACAAAGAAACACAGCAGATGCATGGCTGGAGAACGAGGAAAACTGAGAAAAAGCGGAAGATCGGGCAGGAAAGCGGAACGGCGAGACTGATCGCGGCGCGCTGACGCGAACAGTGACCCCCGGCGACTTATTGCCAACCGACAGAAAAGCGGAGCGACTCTAGGTGGTCCCGGGAGCAGATTTAAAGGGAAGGGCTTCTTACTAAAAAGAGAAAAAGGTTGTTGTGCAAAAAAAAAAAAAAGTCAGAAAAATACACTGCCTTCAATCATCTGGTAAATGACGGAGAGATTATAATATATGGTAATTAAACTCTATAGACTGCAATTAAACTCTATAAACGGATGTGTTCGCCTTTAATTTCGCGGCGACCCCTTTAAGAAAAGCAGCTGTGCTCGGTTGGAATCTGCTAGAAAGTTTGTGGGCGTGGCTAACGCACTCACATGAGCGTACTACAGTAGTCTCGTGAGCAGACCAGAAGAGTATACATGCACAGTTATTAAAACAGTAGAGAGGGACAAACGGTGCTTCTGAAACACAACCGGGTCACAGTTTTGAAGCGCTCGCCGAGGACATCTGCTGGTCACAGTCATAGCCTAAATGCAAAGAGTCCAAATCAGCTATACATTTTTTTAATGCACAATATGATACGCAAATATAATGTAATACTAAAAATAATAACTCTACCCCTAATCGTAACTGTCACACAAACCTGTTGACATTTTGTTTTTTACTCTTATTTTAAATGGTCTTATTGTAAAACAATAAAAAAATATGTGTGTAGGAATGTTACTAATACGTTGTCAGTATAAACTAGGTGTTTTTCATGCTTTTGCAGCTTTGCATGTGAATCAGAGCGGTTCATCAGCGCCCCCTGTTGTTTGGGTATATTAACGCTTTAGTGATTCTTTCCGACCTTCTTTTTCTTCCAATGAAAGTTTGACATGTCATTTCCTCATACAGAGGCTGTACTAAGACTGGGAAGTGTTTATTTTGGACGTCTAAAGTCAGATTTGTTCTGAGTTAGTTTCATCTCTTCTGTCTCTAAATGGCTCTTGAGGATGAGCTGTCGTGTCCCGTGTGCACTGAACTCTTCAGAGATCCGGTGTTATTGAGCTGTGGACACAGTTTCTGCCGGCAGTGCATTAATGCTCACTGGACCTCCAGCAGCTCCAGAAACTGTCCCGTCTGTCGACAGGTGTCTCCGCAGGAACCGGTGTCCAACCTGAGCTTGAGGAACACCTGTGAGGCTTTCCTGAGAGAGAAAAACAAGAAGGAGCAGAAGGATGGAGAGCACGAGTGTCTGATACACGGAGAGAAAATCGAGCTGTTCTGTCAAACTGATGAAGAGGCTATATGTGCAACGTGTAAGGAACATGAGCACAGATGGCACAAAACGCAAAAGCTACAGCAGGCCGTGCGACAACGCAGGGTGAGATTAATAAATGCTTGTGTATGGCTGCCCACTTCGTTACTGAAAGAATCGATCGTTATATGATTACACGTGTTATCTTTAAAGGGGAAGCTGAAGACAGCTCTTCGTTCAGCTGAGAAGTCTTTGGTCTCATTCAAGAAAGGTACAGCACGGGACCCCAAAATCTCCAGGTACATTCAGGTGAGGTTCATGTTTAGTATAAAAAATAGAATTAAACAAATTTACAATTGAATTAGTCTTTCAGATCACCCCCAACTAAGGACTGAATAGGCTGAATGGTTATTCAAAATATGACATGAATTCGGCAAGTAATTCTTGTGGTTTACACATAATTTAATGACGGAATAATTAAAGTAATGAACACTTAATAATTGAATTGAGTATTGACTTCTGTGGAGCTTGTTGTCACTTGAAAATGGTTACAGCCTTGAGAAAAAGATGTGTTTTTGGTTTGTCATAACTCTTATCCTTTGTGTGGACCGTACTCTTAAATGTTTTATTTTTATTTGTCTTGTGATTTTGTCTCTCTCTCGCTCTCTCTGTGTGTGTGTGTGTGTGTGTGTGTGTGTGTGTGTGTGTGTGTGTGTACCCATGACATTCCCCCAGTTTCAAGCTCAGCATACAGAGAGAAAAATCAGAGTGGAGTTTGGGACACTGCATCAGTTCCTCAGAAAAGAGGAGGAGAGCAGGATAGCGGCTCTAAATGAAGAGGAGAAAGAAAAGAGAGGGAAGATGGAAAGAATAATACAAGGAGGAATATTGTCTCTCTCTGACAGAGTCAAAGAACTGGAAGAAGGAATTGAGGATGATGACGTCACCTTTCTGCAGGTTGGTTCACACACACACACAGAGACACAGAGAGAGAGAGAGACACACAGACAGACACA